CCTGCTCCTGATTGGAGGAGAGCAGCATACTCGGCGTGTGGGTAGCAGAGTTGGGATTGGCGGAAGAGGACTATAAAGGAGGAGAGAGACAACATGCACCAGGAACATCTATCTGAAGGAACACCTGTGCAGCCCCCGAGAGAGCCGGCCGGTGGTGTGCCGCTCCCCCACGGAAGTGGGGAAAGTGGCAGGGGGAACCGCCCTTCCACGGAGGTGGAAGGGACGGTAGCCAACCCGGGAAGAACCAGCAGCAAACCCGGGAAGGGCCGAGCAGACAAAAGAACAGCGCAGGGTCCTGTGTCGTTCCTCCACGAAGACGGGGAGCGACAGATATATGTGGAATTTGTTCCCTTTTTAAATTTAAAAAAATTTAAAATACAATAAATGCCTATACACCACTTCGAATTTTCTCACTGCATATGGGCAAGAAAGAAACAGAAGCTCTTTAATATAGGAATTTGAAGGACAACCTTATAATTAATTTTAAGACCTGATCCCAATGAGCTCTGTTTATTTTTACTTATGAATCAGCTTATTTATTTGTTGTTATGAGTCATCAAAGAGACAAATATATTGTATGTTTCACACTCATTGGTACACACACATACAGATGCGATCTATACAACAAGAATCTAGTGCATTTATAACCACTCAGTGACTTAGTATTCTCTTTGCTTGCATCCTGTTTTGCAATTCTGATCTTGTGTCATCATCTTCTGATCTTATTCTATTTACTCTATTTTTGTTAACTCTTAAAACATGCATAGAGATATCCAGCTTTCCCTCAGTCTCTTTTGCTGAGATTCAGCCATGTCCAAGCACCCGTAACTGCACAGTCAAATCCCTCCATAGGGGATCCCAGGTCTGATCTACTCAAGAAGCTTCTGTAGATTGCTAAGAGTCAGCAAGTCACATCTTCCTTGTTCTTGTGACTGTGAAGATCTGAGTGGTGATGCTGCCTAAGATTCTTCCTTCTCCGTTAAAATTCATGAAATGTAGCTGCAGGCTGGTATCCTAGGGAAAGGTTTATCATGCATTATGGATTTCAGTCTGAACCTCTGCTCTGTGAACTCTTTGATCCACGATTCCAATGGGAAGAGTTTAAAGGATTTGGAAGATAGAATGGCACCTTATGAGTTTGACAATAACCTGAGTCTTATTTTGGTACACAGAAATTATGATACTTTCTTTGTCTTAATACACAATATCTTTTAATATAGTGACCTCTCAGTTTTCTCTATTTATGTCAAACCATAGTTCTTGTTATATTTTGAAATAAGCATTTCATTTAACTTTTCTGTAATAAGTTGTTAGTCTCAAACACTTTATAAAGAAAAGTAGTTTGCTCACAGTTCTAGATGTTCCAGGGCATTAGCTTGGCTTTTGTGCAGACTTTATGGCAGATAATATCACAATGGGAGTGTGTGCAAAAGTAGATCACACAGCCATAGAGGAAGCCAAAGAGTGAGACTAGGTCCCATAATCCCTTACAGGAACATCATCTTTAGTGATCTCAGGACCCACTGCTAGGCCTCCCATCTTAAAGGTCCTATCATCTCCCACATCACCACACTGGGGACCACGTGTTCAACACATAAGCCTTTTGGGGACAAACAACATCCAAACTATAACATTAAAGTAAGTTAGGATGTTGGAAATTCTACATTATATTTACTGATGAAGCAATTGAAGTGCAGTCTACAATAAACCTCAAAAAGATCAATGGCTCAATTAATAATACAAGAGCAACAACAGCTTAAATGAATTTAAGAGTGCTACTTTCTTGAGCCTTGTGACATAAATGCAGATTTCTGCAGCTATAGCCAAAAACAGGTAATTTGCATGAAGAAGGAGATTTATAGAGATTTGGAAATGAGTGTCTGTTCATAAAATGTGATTTTAAAGATGATGATGGTAATTGCACATCTGTTTTGATCTTAATTACATGCTTCCAGCTTTCATCATTTCTCTTTATTTTTGTCTTTTGTTGTACTACCTTAGCTAGTTTTTTCTTTCTGTTTTTTTTTTTTTTTCCTGTTTTCATGCTTGCCCCAGAGAAGATCATGTAGCTGGAACGCCTTAAATTATTTGACTTACTAGAAACCATTATTATCTTCCCTTCTGCTGTGTTTCCACGATATACACAGAAGATTCTCCTAATTCATGGGCAAAACAATGGGGATGATTTTCTTTAACTGTAACAACTATGCCTTACTCAGTTTTGAGCCCATGGAATGTCCAGCATAGTGTTATATGGATATATAAAACATGCTTGTTGAATGAATGTTCAAAGGAGTAAAGAACAGGATGAGTAATAAGGATTTACACCCTGCAACTAGAAAATGTAAGACAAAACTCAGGAATGACTACTTAAAATGACAGAAAAAGAGACTTTTACTATGAAAGGAATAGTTACACAGATAGAAAGGGAGTGATAGGGAGAGAGAAAGAGAGGGTCTTCCATCTGCTGGTTCACATCCCAGATGTCTGCAACAGCCTAGGGCTGGGTCAGGCCAAAGCCAGGAGCCAGGAGCTTCTTCTGATCTCCCTTGTGAGTGCAGGAGCCCAAGCACTTGGGCCATAATCTGCTGCTTTTCCATTAGCAGTGAGCTGGATCAGAAGTGGAACAGTAGGGACTTGGATCCGTGCCCAAATGGGATGCTGGTGCTGCAGACCATGGCTTACCCTACTATGCCACAGCACTGGCCCCTAAAAAGTCTCAAAAATACACTCTGTCATCATTTTGTTGTGCATAAAAGATTAAGTTGTCACAGGAAATTGAGGTTGATATGACAAATAAATCAGCTTATGCTGTATATAGAAAAATAAATAGAATTTTTGCATTCTTCTTTAGGCTGTTCCTGGAGTCATTTAATGCTGCCAAAGGAAGAATCAGGTAGAGAAGTTTGGTCTAGTTATATAATGGGCAATTATCATTAGGTGAGGATGAGACCAAATAAGTATAATATGGTGTCTGTTAACTATCTCCACTGCTATACGTTTGTGTGTATGTACAGAGAAGTTAGGTCACTGGGCCAAAGTTATGCTGGTGGTAAATGCCTGAACCAAGATCCAGGTTGTCTTGCTTTTGCTAAGTTACAGATAGACATGCAGATATCTTATGCCTCCTGGGCTCCTGAACAATTGTTTCTTTAATTCCAAAAAGTAGAATTAGTGCCCAGTATATATTACTGCCCATGAATAGCTTTATGGCAGCTGCACTTAATGCCAGTGATGCATAACACACCCATTTCTCTACTTCTACACCATTCCTAATTGTAATTGTTCTTTTTCATTTCTCTCCTGGTTAGGTGAATTTCATTGCTAGTGAGGTAACATTTTGTCGTGTTTAAAAGGTTATTCCCTCCCCCCTCTTTTGCATTAGTCAACCCCTCTTCACGGATGGTTTTGCTTCTGCTGATTGAACCACCCTTAGATCAAAAATGTCATTGAAAAGAAATTACATGGGGCCGGCGCCGTGGCTCACTTGGTTAATCCTCTGCCTGCAGTGCCAGCATCTCATATGGGTGCTGGGTTCTAGTCCCGGTTGCTCCTCTTCCAGTCCAGCTCTCTGCTGTGGCCCAGGAAGGCAGTGGAGGATGGCCCAAATGCTTGAGTGCCTGCACCCGTGTGGGAGACCAGGAGGAAGCACCTGGCTCCAGGCTTCAGATTGGCACAGCACGCCGGCCATAGCAGCCATTTGGGGGGTGAACCAAAGGAAGGAAGACCTTTCTCTCTGTCTCTCTCACACTGTCTATAACTCTACCTGTCAAATAAATAAATAAAATTTTAAAAAAGATACAATATTTTATTCCTCAGGTTTTAGCCAATGTGTTTTGAGCAGTCTAGTATCCTAGAAAGTATTCTTGCTAGACTTAAATAGATCAGTGTTACTGATCAGCAGTGCTTCACTGCTTAAAGGTGCTTTCATTTCTAGCAAATAAAATCTGATAGGAATGCATAGTAAGAGCTGAGAAATGTTACTTGCACTTTATTACACGAAGAAAGGCCTGGTTAGTGAGGAAGGGTAGTCTCTGTTTTGCATTTAGATTCTCCACTAGCAGAGTTCATTAATATTAGTTGGGTATAGAGGCAATGAGTCCATTACGTCCTCACCAACCCCACTGCCCACACGGTGCGGTGCTTCTGATTCTAGGTTCCAGCAGCTGCCGTCCCCTGCAGCACTCTGCACTCTTACCAGAAATAGGCGGAGAAAGCAGGGCAGCGGCCGCGGCCACCCAGAGGTGGGAAGAAAGGGACTCTAGGATTGTGTTGCCCACCTTGGTGCCTGGCACACCATAAGGGCTGGAGAAACTGTTGGGTGGAGTGAAATGTGGGACAGGCACTTACTACGTGTTTGTGAAACATTTAGAAAGAAAAGAATCTGAAGAAGTTCAAGGAGCCTGTGCATTGTGGAATGCCGTTCTCCACGAACTTTTGGGAGCACCTTGCCTGTATATTTATTTCATCTTAGAATCCTTATGCTTCTAGACCGCTTTTGTTGCATCTATATAATCCCTTTTCTAAAACCGAGGGTTTTAGAATGATACTTTATGGCTACAGGTTGCAAAAACCTTAAATGTAAGTCCCTCCACCCCAGGTCCCAGAGTCGCCCGTCTCCCCCATCACTGGCTTCCCTCGCGCTTGGGCCACACCCGGCTGGACACACAGATGGTGGCTGGTCCCACTGGGGAGTCCTATACCTTGCCAAGGTATCTGATCGGCCTTGCCCAGCCCCGGCCCGCAGCGTTCACCGTGAGCGCAGGCCTTGGGGACTCCACCCACCCCTGCCCCTCTGGGGCCGCCAGGGCTTGGGACCAGAGCGCTCGGGGCGTTCACAGCGCGCGCACGCACGCGCGGGTCTTGGGGATTCCGCCCACCCGCGCCCCTCTGCGCCGCCAGAGCGCGAGGCGGCGTTCACCGCGCGTGCGCGCGGGCTTCGGGAACTCCGCCCACCCCCGCCTCTCTGCGCCGCCAGGGCGCGGGACCAGAGCGCGAGGCGGTGGGCGCGAGCCTGGCTTGGGCGACCGTTACCGGCCAGGAGGCGCTGACCGTTACCGGCCAGGAGGTGGCGGGGCTGACCCAAGGCCATCCCTGTACCTTGCCCTCACTGGGCGCCCTAAGGCGTGAACAGGCCGGACCTTAGCCGCTTCGAGGAGCGGCCTGGGCCGCTGGCGGGCCGCCGAGCTGCGGGTGAGAGCGGCATCCCTCCTCCACACCCCTGCTGCCGGCCGGCCTTGGCCAGGACCTGGAGGGCTGGACCAGCCGTCCCCTGCCTCTGCTGGCCAGCGTCCCTTCTGTGCAGGTTTTCTTATGTGCTCTGGAGCTCTTTGCTATCCCTAGATTACTGAACTGTGTCCCCATCATGAATAGGTAATGAGCTCTTTGAGAAACTTTGCTACCATTTGTTGTGTACCATATGCATACACAGAGGTATGCCCATAACACAAATGTATCTATAGGTGGCTACTACGATTCTGTGTTGATAGTTAACTTTTTAAAGAAAATATTCTGTATTGAATTGCGTTAATAACCTTAGCAGCATTATACTTTCGTGTGTGCATACATGTATATATCTCTATGTGTGTAGGTAAATCTATACACATCACACAGATGCAAAAACAACATACACATTTAGTTTTGGCATTTATGTACTTGAGTTTTATTGTCTACCGTTTTGTGGTGTTTTTCATGTCTCGTGTGTGAAGCATTGCTATTTTAGTTTCAAGAAATGAATTCACAAATTTGTTTTCTGTTCTGTTTTGGAGAATTGAAGGGAGGGAGTGTTAAGGAGCTGGAGGAGAGGGGTAAACAAGGCCTCACTGCCTCCTGTCTCAGTGAATAAATGGGATTCCATCTTGGGGGAAATGCAATGAATTCAGTAACTTCCGTGAGGATTTACTGTTAACTGCACATTTGATGATGCTGACTTGTGAAGCGCTTTTGGCCTAATGTCTTTTTACTTTGCTGTGTGGGGTGGGGCAGGGAAGGGAGAGCAGAGTACTGTTTCCTTTATCGACTTTTGGTTTTATTGATACTGACTTTTGTTGTGGTTGGTTTTCTATTGTACTAATTTCTCTCCCTGGGAGCATACTCCTTTTCCAGCTTCTTGATGAGTGGTTTGTTTCTTGTGTCAGCTCATCACTCCTATAAGGAGATACTGGGAGGAGTCGCTGTGAAGAGATGAGGTTCACTCTGGCGAGTTGTTTCGGAGATTCACAGTCTGTGGTCAGGTGGGCCCCACTAGTTGGGCCTCTGGAGTTGGTTTTCTTGCTGGCATAGTCCCAAGGTGCTGTAGAGCATCGTGTGACGAGGAAATGGTGTCCCTCTATGTCTACAAAGCCACCATGATTTAATCCTGGGGGTTTCTGCCTGCTGTCACCGGCACCATAATTGGATTGTTTACACTCTTGTACCATTAATCTAAGACTTTGGGGACCAAATCTTTAACAATGGGCTTCAGGGAGACAGTCAACATCTGACATCCAAACCATAGCATTTGTTTGTCATCCTTAAAATATGAAATACAGTTAATGTCCTAAATGTACTTCTAAGAACCAACAAAGCTGCATTTACAGTTTAAATGCATAATACTTTAATGTATGTGCATTCTATAAGGAAATGTCTGCTTACTATTGATTCTGTGAAATTGGTTATCTTCTGTTACCTATGATGTGGTCAATTTGACTGATGTCTTAGGTGATTTGAAAAGAAAGTAAATTATTACGTAAAAGGTTATATATGTATAGATCAGGTCAAGCGTATAGGTGTAAGGATCAAACTTTATTTTTTTATATTGTTATGACAGTTTTCTTTTGTTTAGCATACGTTTGATAGATTATTTTCCATTCTCCCTTAAAAATTATGGTAGAATATGCATAACAGAAAATGTGCCATTTTAAAGAGTACAGTTCAGGGACATTAAGTACACATTGTTGTGTAACCATCACTCCTATCCATCTCAAGAACTTTTTCTTCATCCCAAATGGAAATTCTAGCCTGATTAAAAAAATAACTCTGCGTTACTGCTTCCCACCATGCCCTGGTAACCACCAAACTACTTTCTGTCTTTATGAATGTGACTATTCTAAGAACCTCAGATAAGTGGTATCGACCAAAGTAATCTTAATCAGACTGAAAGGCTGAAAAGGAAAGCTTTATTTCCAAAGAGGAGGCTCTCACAGACTGGGGAACACAGATCAGAGATGACGATGTGCTCTGCAGTTAGACAGAGAAGCAGAGTTTAGGAGAGCGACAATAGACAGCGCAGGAATTCCCGTAACCTGCTTCTTGAGGTGCAGCCGTGCAGGCTTGAGTGTACTCTTCATTTTTTATCGTGGGATAATGTTCTGAAAAGGAGGGGCTGTTAGTATTTTCAGGGGGGATTTTGGCCCTGTGATATCAGAAAGTTAGGGATTTTCTTGAGACATTTTTATGATTTTTATCCTTTTCTCTGACTCACTTTGAGTATACAATAGTTAAACATCTATTATCTGGACAAACAGAGCCCAAAACTGTCTTTTTAAAATTTTTGTAACTATAAAGAGAGTAGATTTCATAGATATTGAGCAGGGTAGTTGTTAGTGCACAGCCTCAGTAAATTGATTCAGAGACTGTTAGCTGCCAGAAGTTCTACCTTTTTGCCCAGTCAGGACTCAGGGAATGTGGGCAGAGAAGAATGAGAAGCAGTTTTTTGCATGTTGGCAAAAATGCCAAGAAACTGGCGGCATCTGTGTGTTAGCTGCTGATGTTTCTCTCTCTCTCTCTCTGCCTTTAGGATTTATAGTTGTACTTTTGTACATTTCTATTCATCTGAAAGAGATAGATCGTCCAACTACTGATCTACCCATTAAATGCCCACAGAGCTGGGGTTGGGTCTGCAATTTGGGTATTAGGGACTCAGGCACTTGAGCCATCATTTGCTGCCTCCAAGAGTGTGCATCAGTAGGAAGCTAGATTGGAAGCAGAGACATGACCTGATCCCAGACATTCTGACAAGGTGGCTTATCCCACTGCACCATAACACTGAACCCTAGAAATGTTTCTCTTTGTAGTTGTCTTTTCTCTATGGTTGCTATGATTGTATCAACTGAACTGTGACCTTTTTTATGAACTATTTTTTCCTTTTGCCAAAGAATACTTTCTATAAAATCTGTTATTGGCTCTTAATATCAAATTCTGTATTTATCCATTTGAGTCAGAGTCTGTTAAGGTAGCATTCTTGACCAATATAGACTAAAAGTAATTAGTTATAGATCTGTAGGTCTTCCTGTGTTGTCACCAGGTTGGTATGGCTCCTTGCTTTTGGTCCATCTAGTCCCTCAATGGGATTCCTGTACGGACTGTGAGAAATACGTGAATCAGAACAAGGGTCTCCAGTTGATAAAGACAGAATGAAATGTTAAAGTGGAAATTGGACATCTTGTGTTTGAACATGGCTTGGGCTAAGTTAGAGTGAATTCAGAGTGTCAGGGTGTTAAGTCAGCATGATTTTAGTGGGGGCTGGTTGAAAGCATTTAGAAATACAAAAAAAAAAAAAAAGACTAAAAACAAAGAAGATGATCAGAGTACCACAAGGATCATGAGAACAGTTTGTAGTCCTGAACAGAAAAGAGTACTCAGACCAGGGGTCCTCGACTAAACAAATCACGTCAAGGATCCTCCTTTCTAATTTCTTGTAACTGTTCGGCCTCTTTGGTGATTCTATCTAATCTGATCTCACTTGCCTAGCGTATTTACGTGACTTCTCTACAAGTGGTATGAGATGGAACGAACTCCTCCTTGTTGACTCAGTAGGCAACCCAAAGCCATCTGGTTGCCTAAAACCACAAAATAAGAATTGGGAGTTTTTTTGTTTTTGTTTTACTCTCCTATGCTTTTAGCAATATCTTCAATATCCACTAGTAATTGGCAGATCAGATTTCGAATCATGCTTTTGTTTTCATAGACTCAAGTATCAGCTATGAGGCTACTAGAAACACTCAGTCCAACACTGTTAGCATTTCCAGCTACTATTTCCCTTTGAAATGATGGCTTTTGTGTAAACTCTATCATCTGCTCTGTGGATGGGTAAAGGAGCTATGTATTGGCCTAATGGACATATACTTGTATCTGCTAACTGTCTACACGTCTGTGAGGCCACCCCTGGTGGGAGGGTCTCATCCCATGCCCCAAACCAAAGCATACCCATGAGGTGTACACACAATTCCTGCAAAACTGTTTTCATTGATAGATGCATTACAAGGCAAGCTGCAAAGCACAATTTTAAAATATGAATGGGTTTGTGTTTGGTTTTGTTACCGGTGAATTGCAGGGTTCTTGTCTTTGCACAAGAAAGAATTCAGGCATGAGATAGATAGTAGTGGAAAGTAATTGAGGGTTTTCATGAAAAGGGTACAGGACATGGTAGATAAAGAGTAAAGCAACAATATCCTCTGCAGCAAAGGTCATGGGTCACAGAGGAGATAAAAATGAGAAGAAATGGTTACAAATAGCAAAGCAATCAAAACAGGTGATCTAGATGCCAGGAAGGTGCCTTGCCTCTTACATGACTAACATAATGTTTCTGTAATAGCTACCATAAACATGAAGAGTGTGACAAGAACGGTCAGTAGGTAATAAAAGAATAAAGTTTCTGTGTTTGCTGCTGTTGTTGGCTCATACTGGCCTGGTCCAGTGTCTTGGATGATCAGGTAGACTCCACAGATTTCATCTCTTATCCTTCAAAGAGTGTCTATCGTTAAGCTTGGTAGCCGAGAGGGGTTGAGATTTTGAGATTGGCTCTTGTAGGGCAACAGGTATGTCACACAGGATGCTTTGTTCAGCTGTGAAGTGGGAATCCGGGGATCTACTCCATGTCATTCAGTTGCACAAGGATTAGCAAGCAACATCAGATAGGACCCCTTCAAGAAAGACCAGAGGGAATCTTTAAGATACCTCTTTCAAATGCACAATGCATAGTCTCCAAATTATGATAGGGTTCATCTCCTAATTGGGCAGTGGGAAGTTACTCCTTACAGATTAATCAATGGCCTTAATCATTGGCCTTAAGGCAAATACCTAAGCATTTCACCTTGGAATGATGTTTTGACTAAGCAGCTTCTTTTAAATGCATGGGCCTCTCAGCACCTCCAGTGGGAAAGGGATGCTTACTCACTGGGGTGAATCTCAGGTTTAGAAGAACAAGGGGAAGAGCCTGTGACCGGTGTGGCTTCACAGTGGTCAAAATCATTTTGGCTGAGCTTTAATAGTGCTGTATGTGCAGCCTACAAATCCAGATGATGATGGATGACAAGGACAATGAAAGTACTCTAGTAAGGGCATACTTCACAGACTTGTCTCATCATCTGACCAGTAAAATGAGTTCCTGATTC